TGTTAAAAGATTAAAAACTTCATTACCCAGAAGTCCTGCGGCTGTCACACTGAGGTCACCAGGAAGTACTGTGTAAATACGGTTTGCTTGTATAACTTTTCGGCGTACACCAAAAGCTGCTCGGCGAGGCGGAGTCAGGTTACATTATGTACTTAAAATGTACTTTTTATGGCACTTTTTATGCACAAAAGTAAAATTATTACGTTTTGTTTTGGTCTAAATAGCCCGTGTGATCTAAGATGTCTTGTTACATGAATTATTTAAAGTGTTTCGCTGGTTGTTGTGTATCCAGCATGTGATCTACCGCCAGGTGAGTTTGACACATTTAACGGCTTTATGTTCAATGTTCACAGAGCTCTGGTGCCCCGGTGTTTACAAAGCTACGACAGGGGTGTCTGTCCTGCCCTGAACTTGTGAGTAAAGGTAGGACAAACTGTTTGTTCGTGGCATAAAACTCTTGTTTAGTGCATAAAGACGTTGTCTACTACTGTCGCAGTTGTTGTCTTGTCGTTCATAACAGCACTGAGAACCAAACGGTTGAACCAAGAAGGAGCCTGTTTCTAGCCCAACTTTGTGTCAATGATTCGCACACTGATGCTCCAGTAAGCTGGTATTTATCATTTAAGTCATGTCAGATAATGTTTGTTTAGAGTACATGCAGTATTTGTATCGTGTCGGGCTTGGCATTTGTCCTTGAGAAGACATGACAGTTTGTACTTTGTGAAAAGTCGTGTACTTTGGCTGAGCTTCAAAGTCCAACGTTTAAAAGTGACAGCAGGTGAGACCAAGAGGCGGCAAGAGAAGCCTGTCAGAACTCGCCTGAGAATCATCAGGTTTTTAGGATTTCTTCACAATCAAAGTATTTCATGTATAGTTATGAGGACATCCAATAGCTTAAAAGAAAACTGGACTCTTAACAGATGATTCGGCGTATTTAACTTTACAAAATTTTGAACAAATATAGTCTAAAAATGCTGCTCACTGTGTGGTGTGCTGCTTTCATGGCAACATTATGCTAACAGTGGACTAACAGTTTCTTGTCAAACTTTCTGTTAACGTAAGTGAAGACTTACATAGATATTCAAGCTCATACTCATTACATAGCCCCTGTAGCAGGGCTAAACAGTTAATTGTTTTAAAATCGACATCCATTTTCAAACAGTACAAATAGCAAATCCCTAAAGCTGCCATTTAGGATGTGCATTATTTAGTGATTCTGACCCAGAGTTTATCTCTTGTTGTTGTGACTTTATTAAACTAGATTGCATTATGTGCAGTACTTAAAAGCTGCTTTGAGCCTTAAGGTAATGACTTTCCTTTTTCAATGTTAGTTTGGTTACAGAGAGATTCTATTACTGTCTTAATAGTTTTGTTTTTATTACTTTTTTTTTTAATGTAACACAGTCACAGCGTCTCTGGTGATTACTCTGTGTTCCATTGTTTGTTTCCTCATATATAATAGAAATTGCAATAATCATATTTTGGAATCTATTCACATTCTCCATTATAATATAGAGTATCCATCCATCCATTATCTATACACCGCTTAATCCTCACTAGGGTGGCGGAGGGGCTGGAGTCTATCCCAGCTGATTTAGGGTGAAGGCAGGGGACACCCTGGACAGGTCACCAGTCTATCACAGGGCTCCATTTAGAGACAGACAACCAACATGTTCAACATGTTTTTGGACTGTGTGGGGAGAACATGCAAACTCCACACAGAAAGATCCCGGTGCCCCCACCGGGACGCGAACCGGCGACCTTCTTGCTGCGAGACAACAGCGCTAACCAACTGCACCTTGCAGCCCTTTATATAGAGTAGTTCAGGGCTAATGCTTTACCACCTTTTAAATGTGTTACATGGTGAATGTCGAACTGAAGCTTGACTTTAAAAACTGTATTGCATACCAATATACAGTTAGAAGTTTCCCCCAATTTGTTTGGCCCTGCTTTATATCACAGATAATTAAAACATGGGTATTGATTGTCAACTGATAACGAGCTAAATCTTTTCTCTTAATTTAGCGATATAAGATACAGAAATGCCTTAAGTCCTCCCATTTGAGAGGTTAAGATCAGAGAGCATCAGACATGTACTCACTATTTTGTATTGCTGTAGATCAACTATTAAGCTAATTGTTTCAACTCTTTGATTTTAAATATAGAAAAGTAGTTTTTTTCAGGGACATGAAGGACTACAGCTCTGCAAACGATACCAGCTTAATAGTAGTTAAAGTAGTTTAAATTGAGGGTTGACCCTCAATTCTTGTTTTGTTTTTTTTAAATAAAAAAAATAACAGAAACTCCAATAACACAAAGTAAGAAGTTGCTTAAAGTTTTCTGTCTGATCTAATAATTACCCAAGTACTTAATTATAAAAACACCTCAACTGTGACAAATGTAAAGCTCAATATTAGTCAGTAAACTCCTAATAACATCACAAACTCTGATCTTAACTCAGTAGACCTCATTTCTGCTGTTGGCGTTACACTGGACTGCATTATACTGAGACGTGTTTCTGGTATTTGGCCCTGCAGTCCTTTCATCATGGCACTGGCTGGGGTGAGAGTTATTGAATTGGCCGGCCTGGCTCCAGCACCGTTCTGCGGTATGATCCTAGCAGACTTCGGAGCCAAGGTGATCCGTGTGGACCGCACCAAGGTTGCCATGTCTATGGACACACAAGCGCGAGGAAAACGATCTGTGGCCATCAACCTGAAGACGGAGGCGGGCAGAACCTTGCTCAGGAAGCTCTGTGTTCAGTCTGACGTGGTCCTTGAACCCTATCGTAAAGGTCAGAACAAAGTGTTCGTACCTGAACTTTGTACTCTAGTACAGAATGTGAGTGCATTTGCTTGAGTAAATGTAGAAAACAAGAATCATTACAGTTCTTTTTAAAACGTTTCATTGTGGTAATGTTAGAATATATGTAAGCACTTGTAAAAAAATTAATTAAAACTGCTTATGATTAGATGGGAAAAGACAAATTTATAACTTTGGAGATAAAAGCAACCCAATCCTTCATTTCAATCTCAAAAGATCATTTTAATTAAACGTTGTCATCTGCTGATAGAGTTTTTGCATTTTCCAATAAACCACATAAGACTTTGAAAGAACAAAACTCAATCCATATTTCCAGGATCAAAAGAGTGATTCTCCAGTCCCCAGGGTTCCTGCTGAGTGAGAACTAATGTAAGCAGACACTGGTAGAGAAAAGGTGTTTTTTTTTAATGAAAGTATAGATTGACTTTCCTCTGACTGCTCAGGTGTGATGGAGAAGTTGGGTCTCGGTCCGCGTGAGCTGCTGATGGAAAATCCTCGTCTGATCTACACCCGATTGACGGGGTACGGCCAGAGTGGGTCTTATGCCACCGCAGCTGGACATGACATCAACTACCTCGCCATGTCAGGTCAGAGCACACTGTTCATGTCTCAAATATTTATACACCTTACACTGCAGACTGACAGAATTGCATCATGTATTTATAATGATGGTTAAAAAAAAAAAAAAGATAATCCATGATTCTTGTGAGAAGCCAATGAAGCTTGTTCCCTTTGTACTTTCTCTGTGTTTAGCTCAACTGCTTTTTAACGACCTTGAAAATTCCTACAGACTTAATAGGCTGTTTGATTTGTGTGTGTTGTCCATTAATGGCATTCAAAAGCAGTGCAAAGATGGCCTCTTATGGGGGCATTATTGCAGCAAAACTATTTGTCCATGCGTATGGAGAGTTGTCTGTCTGTATCTCAATCCGTTCATCCAAAGTGCATGTGGGTGTGCTTGGTTGTCTGTCTCTAAGTGTAGCCCTGTGATAGACTGCTGACCTGTCCAGGGTGTCCCCTGCTATTACCCTAAGTCAGCTGGGAGAGGCTCCAGCGCCCCCTGCAACCCTGGTGGGGATTGAGCATTGTATAGATAATGGATGGATGGATCAACAGCGTGTGAAAGATGGAAACAAAGAATCGGGCTTATGTTCATGCTGATGTGAATTGTTGTGTGTAATATTTTCACTCTGTTTGTTTTACAAGCACACCTTTCAAGTGCTCCTGTAACAGACGCTCTGCTTAATAGAAGTAATTTATTTGCACATGTGGTTGCATTCATACTGCAATTTTGAAGCTAAATCTCAGGCAGCAACACAGACGGTCTCATTGCACCTCTGAAGACAGAAAAACACTGAGGGCTGCCGTGGATGTTTCTGAGAAGAATTCGGAGACTTCCCACTGTGTTTGGGCTCCATGGATGAAAAGCATGTACAAATCAAAGCACCTCCACAGTCCAACAGCGACCACTTCAATTAGAACTCTTTTAAGGATGAATTCTAAAGCGGTGGATGACACATAATCGCCTGTCACAGCCCGAGGCATGCAAGTTTGTTGACTTGCAGTGCTGGTATTCTAGCGGTCGCAAAGTTTAGACTTCACACAAACAGACTTCTCTCACTGACGTATATAGGACAAGCCCTGCATCACACCAACACTTGCGGTCATGTGGAACCAAAAAGCATGAATTGGCCTTTGGCCTGCTCAGTCTGTTTTTGCAGCACACAGAGTGAACCTAGCTGCATCTGAAAAGGAATAAAGGGGTTGAAATCATCAATGCAAATTGAGGGAAAAGTGCTGTTTTTAACCATCAGTGCCATCCCCAGCACACCCCTTCTAACATTACAAACATTTACATACACTACTGCAAAAGGTGACCTTGGACTAATGATTGCTAATGATTTTTTCAGAATGTTCAGTGTATTTTGTCGAGCCTTATTACACATCAAAGTAGTCTGTCTAGACAACTGCCACAGTAGGTATGTCTCTTTAATTGGCACCCAGGGCAGCAGAGGAAAGTAAAAACGTGGGAATATAACTTTTGAGAAAATTTCTGCATCTCCACATTTCTTGTTCTTGTCGAAGATCCTTTTTAATATCTGTTTGACAGCAGCAGAGGAGAAAGATGTCCTCTGCAGACGTCACATATTTATTTGATTTAACCACACAAGCAGTGAATTTCTCAGGTTGAATGAACAAGTTATGTACACTTGCACACCCTTGAATATATTAAATCATTCCTGTTTGCATTTGCAGTTCAGGTAAATTTTCCTTTTCGATGTTTTGTTGCTGAAGTAAATAGTTGTTTTCATTTAGGGTGAATACTTCGTCTCTTTATTCCCGTCGCAGGTCTTTTATCCCGGCTGGGTCGCAGTGGAGAGAAGCCCTACGCGCCACTGAATCTGGTAGCAGACTTTGCTGGTGGTGGTCTCACCTGCGCTCTGGGAATCGTTCTAGCACTGCTGGAGAGGACAAAGTCGGGGAAAGGACAGGTCATTGATGCCAGCATGGTGAGAGTAACTCCTGTAAACAAGCGCAGCCCTGGCGCTGAGTCATTTTCATACATATGCATGAGTGCTTCTTTGATATTTTCTTCACTCGTGTCACAGGGATGCTTTGAAAACTGCAGCCACACTCATGTCATAGGTTGAGCTTAGGGCAAATTCACAGTGACAGCAGCCCTGCAGCAACCACTGTCCAAGGTTGGAGTGGATGTGTTGCCACAGATACCAGTGATAAGGAGAAATACAAACCAGATAATCCAGAGTGAAGACTGATTAGACACAGAAAAGTAGACTAACAGCCCAGGAAAGTTATCACAGCAGAGCAAATTCCCTAAGCAGTTAAGTTAGTAAAATGCTGCAAACTACATGCTGCTGTGTGTTCTGTACTGCTGTGCATCATGCTGCCAGGTGATGGTGCACTGCACTGTGGCAAACTTTGTGTGGGGATTAGTGGGATAAGTTGGACAGGCCCTTTAGCGCAGTTACTTGAAAAGTACTTCAAAGTCTCTAAATCCTGCTGTGCTGTAAAGCTGCTGGGAGGTTACAAAGCACAATCCCTCTCATTAAGTCGTTAAAGTAGCAACGTTTTTTTAAGACATATTTTTCTGCCTTTACTGATAGTTGACAGTGATGATAGAGAAATGTGGGGAGAAGAGTGAGGGAACGACATGCATCAAATGAGCTGCTGGCTGGAATCGAACCACAGCCGCTGCAGGGACTAAAGCCCCTGTACATGGGTCGCCCGCCAAACCCACTGAGCTATCCGGGCGCCCCATAAAGTAGCAAAGTCGTACATCTTTTTGAGAGAGGGCATGTTTTTTCTGTTTTCCTGTACATAGCACAATCAGATATTTATTGTATCATATCTCCAGCATTTTTTTTCTTTTAGGTTATGCAAGTATTTTACTCACTGAGCTACTGTGCACAGATGAGGGGATACTGGTGTGATTTACTTCCATAAAGCTGAGGCACAATTATTTCAGCTTGTGCTTTATTTTAACTCTGTGTCAAGTTAGAATTTAGGTCTTTATTTCATTAAGTTCCTATACTTCTTGAAATTTTTTTTGGTTGTAAGATAGATAGATAGATAGATAGATAGATAGATAGATAGATAGATAGTACTTTTTTGATCCCTTTGGTAGAACCTCAGGGAAATTGTTGATGAAGCATCAGGATTCATCTGTGTAGTTTTCATACATTTTGTGGCAGCCTCTGATTTGTAACAAGTAGGTGTTAGGTCTTGAAGCCTTCTAGACTTGCACAAAGAAGGACAAGCTTTGAAAATATCAGACTGAGGTTTGTTGCCAAGTAGGTTTGCACATGCAAAAATTTGCCTTGGTTTGGTGGAGCACAGCAGTCACGAAAAAAATAAGAAATAAAAACCATTGTCTACCATCAGCCACAACATTAAAACCGTTGCCAGGTGAAACCTTGGGCCCTGTTGTTTACGCAGATGTAGCTTTAAAACACACACCAACCACCTAAACACTGTTGCAGATCAAGATCTTTAGTGCTAGGCACCAGGATGTTGGTAGTGGGTCCTTTGGGTCTGATCCTCCATGGATCAGACATGCTGTGATGCATCTTGTGGTGCCTGATGGGTTTGGGATGGGGGCAGATTGGAGGCTGTGTCAGCACTTCCTGTCAGCACTTGTCCTGTTCCTCTAGCTTTTCCTGAGAAGTTTTTATGTTGTGGTGCATGGTCATGCTGGGAGGCCCATTAAGGGATGAGCTCGGTCTGTTACAATATTTAGGTAGTTAGTTGATACACATCAAAGAAACACGCACATGAACACCAGGAACCAAAGTTTAATCGCAGAACATTGCTGTACCAAGATGATCAATGTCGTTCACTGTGGTTTTATTGTTGTGGCTAGTTGATGTCTCTACGTACAGTTGACTTTACTTACAATTATGAAAACTGTTTCTCACTCCTTTTACAGCCTCTGAGAGTCTTATGTTCTGCCTGTACGACTTCAAATCCTTTGCTGATCATTTGAAAACATTAAATTTGACAAAAAAGTTTCAAGTCCCAGAGGAGAGCAGCAGAGGACATTGAACAAGCATCTAATTCAGAGAATGTTTAACTGACTTTGACATAAGCGAATCCCATTCAGGTTCAGGTAATTTTAGGACAAGACACAGTTAATAAAGCCTGTCATGCTGTTATCCTGTTATCCTGCGGTTCCCAGTTCCCAATCACACAACTGAAGCAAACTTCAATGAATCAGCTGATGAAATAAGACTCGGCTCGGAGGAACTGATGATTTGAATTATTGAAATTTAGTCGGAAGACCTGTTATTTTATCAGACTTCAGAGAGCTCCTCCAGTCACAGGAGACATCATATACTTGTTGTCACTTGAGTTACATTAACTCCACTTTCACTGTGTAAAATGGTGCTGTTCCCCTGAAGAACATATAGTTCTGACCGCTTTTTGTCCTGCTTTATGTTTTTGAGTTGCCACTCCATCTAATTTTGTTAATACGATATCTCAGAAAAGCCTAGAAGGAATTTTACTGCCTCTGGCACAAAAAAATTCACTTGGATGAAGGAGGAAGTGATTAAAAGTTGGTGGTCAAAGGTCACTGTGATCTCACAAAACACATTGTTGGCCATAACCCAAAAAATCATATGCTAGTTTTGACCAAGAGGACAAAATGATGAAGCGATGATATTTTTTATCAAAAAAGGTCAAAGCTCAGCTTCACCATGGAATCATAATGTTCAACAAAAACAGAAAGAAGATCATGTTTGGTCTGATATTGAACCGACCACCTTGAAACTAACTGTATAAACCTTTTGTGCTGCCAATTTTAAGATATATGTGATAGTTCCAGTTTTTATGTTGTTTTTTAAAATTAATTTTGGTTTATTTATTTTACTTTAATTAGGTTAAGTACCTGAAGATTGAATGTGGGTGGTGTTTACTCTGACAATCAGATAAAAATACTTGTTGCCACTTTAATCAAGCTCTGTATTTTAATTGCTATAATTATTTTTGAATCAGTCACGTACAGTCAGTAGGCGCTTATTCTTTCACTTTTCTCCCCCGTGTATTCTAGTGTACATCGTTGCACTGCCCGTTTTTCATTTGAGAAAGCCCAGGAGAATAATGTGTCTGTCTAACAATCTATCACGACTGGTTTAATTTATTATTTCGCGCTGTGCCTCTATGTCACGCCAGCAGACTTGTAAGTGGGTGGCATGAGGGCAGGGCCATATATACGTGTCTCACCAGGGACATGTAAACATGGATTGCTGCCGTCTCATGTTTTAAATTCTCACCTGCAAGCTGTGACGCAAGGAGTAGCTGATTGATGTACGCATGTGGATGTCATGAGATGGAAAAGGTACACTCAGTGGCCACTTTGTTCAACATACCTGTTCAGATAATTGCGACTGAGTACAACAGCTTTGCTATAAAATTGGTCTCTTTATGGCATTTGTAAGGCTCGAGATTGAAGTCGGGCATGTGCAGCTCATATTATGTGTTTGTTATTGAGGTCACAGTTAAATACACTGTATTAGTTTGTTATATTGAAAGGCAAGTGTTTGTCCTCTTTATTACCTGAGAGCAGGAACAATATTAGAAACACCTCTCAATATAATGACGTCAGCAACACCATTAACAGCATAAAAGCAGAACAATTGCAGTGATTAGACTGTACAGGTAATAAAATGGCCACTGATTCTGTGTGGGATGTTCTGATGTCAGCTGTGGTTTTAACCTCTGGACCCCAAAACCTTTGAAAGGCATCTTTCAAGAAACTCCAAAATGATACCATTTGTCATAGCTTTTTTTTTTTCAAGCTTCCAAAGGTACAACTCTGAAGTACTGTGACGTGTTCTTTTATGGGGAAACGTAAGCTTTAAAAGTGATAATACATCTAAATCACTTAACTCCACATGTGTCATCTAAAAAGTGCCAACAATTAACGGCTAGTAACTGTTGTTCGTCATTTATAGATTCTGTACAAACAAAAAATTCTGAGCCCCTCGATGCGACCATCAAGTTATTAGTGACTCAGCTGTCACTAATGGCTTCATGTCACAGCAATATAGGAACTTTTTGGTTGAACTGTAGGCTGTGCATATGATGGGGAAAAAGTATGAAAGCAAATTAAAGTAATTAAGTATGCAGTCACTTTTTTTTTGCAAACACTGGTAAAAAGCTGCACATGTTCATTCCATTCTTGAGGTATTTCTTGAATAAACTGTAAAAGGAAGTTTAGCTATCTTTTTTTTAAATGAAATATTACATTATGCCTTTGTTATACTGCACAAAAGATATTTTTTTCTTTCTAATTCTAGCCATTGTTGTGCTATTTCCATAGAGGTGCAGGTTATATAGTTGTTTAAAAAAAAAAAAAAAAGGCCCACAGTGAGGAAAATCATGACGAGAGCAGGAAACCGTTTGAAGTTCAGAGGATTAACTGGGTTTTATGTCCCCTACAGTACCGTGTGCGTAGTTTTCAAGCAAGCCTCAGTTTATTTAGTTTAGAAGTATAAATGTCCTTAGGACTGTCTCTGCAGCGCTGTCTCTTGATTATTAATGTATTCATCAGACCGTGCACACAAATAGCGTTTTTCTCTGGCTGAAAAGTGCTGGCAGGGCGCTAGAGAGTGCTTTATCTCATCCAAAAAGTGCTTCCATGCTTGGCAGGGCTGTTGTTACTGTGACAACAATGTCACCTCTCTAACCACTGTTTTAGCATCCCCCCTTATTGTGATAATTTGTTTTTTGATGCATCATACTGTGGGTGGAGAAGAATCAACACTCTCAAAGAGGATCTTGAAGTCAAGGTCTCTTTATTCAGCAGTTCACAGAATCTCACACAACACAGGGTTATGGGAGAGGAGCTCCCCGAGTAAAAGGACTCTCAGGATTTATATTCTTCTTCGTACGCTACCTATGGAGAGACAAATTCTTTCTGTTCTTCGACAATTTGTCTTTGTCTTGTCATGGGAGGATTGCGTCATGTTTCTCTTTCACCTTGCATACAGGACTGTATCAGTAATTTCCCTCTTATCTGTCACAGGAGTGTAGCCCTCTGTGGCAGGAGTGCAACTTCCTGCAGCAGCATATCTCTCTAAGAACTTCTTCACACACTATTAGCCACCTGGAGAAACAGAAAAACAATCCTCAGTAGTTTTCCATCACATACAGACACGGCCACGAGTTACTTCTCTACTTTCTTGGTTACAAGGGTGAAGAATCCCATTCATGTAACTGGCTGCATAATAAAGAACAACAGTGACGACACCAGTGTCTTTCCAAAAAGCTCATTTTTAACTCAAAGGCAGAGCGTTCTAGGAAAGGACACTTGGTGCAGCTCCTCTATATGGATATACACACTCTCTCCTCATTGGAAACACTTCAAAAAAGCTGCTGCCACTCAGAATTAAGTTTTGTTTTAAATGCACGCCCCCCCACTGGTACGATCTCCTGGTAAAGGCCGCAGCCTCGGGTCAATCTGCACGAGTCACAGAAGGATTGAAATGCACAAATTGATAGTTGTGATAATTGACATTTGTGTCAAAATAATGCCAAACATGCATGTGCAATAATAATATTGTTACAATAGATATTATCAATTGAAATTATTATATCTTATTTTGTTGATTAATCAAGTTGTCATTTAATTTTGAAACACTGAACAAAACAAAGTAAAGAAAAAAAGTTCTTCCCCAAATAGCATATAATACAACATTGTTTGAGAGTCATAAGACGAGCAAAAGCAGCAAAGCTCAAATAAAATTGCTCAGTAACATATCAGAATAATTTCTAATTAATCCTCTGGGAATAAATTGAGTTGTAGCTGGTTTTGTACCTTACAAAATTCAAATGATTGAGTAGAAATAAACAGCAAATAAATAAATTGTACAAGCAAATGCTCTGTCAGGATTTTCACTTCAGCCACAATGCCCAGAAATAATGCCAAGTGGAGAAAGACTAACATCCCGAAAAACCATGAGACATTACACATAGTAGGACTTTTAAATCTGTATTTCGGTGGAAGCAAATCTTATTGTGAAGCTGTAGAAATACCTGTTCTGTCTGACAATGGAACATCTTTCCATTGTGACTCTCAATGCCAGCTCAGTAAACATGAAATGACAGCCGATGCACCATCTGCCTCCCAACTGTCGCCTGTGACGTGCTCGGGCTGGGAGAATGTTTCTGACATGACATGTAATTTACTCTCAGCTGTGCCCCAAACATCTAACATCAGTAGCGTGTTATCAATCATATCATTACCCTTCATTCATCCATCCATTTCTAACTATTTATCCCTTGAGGGTTGCGTGGGCTGAAGCTAACCCCAGTATGCACAGAACTGAATTGGAGGCAGCCTTCAGTTCTTTCCATGCTACCTTCCTGTCTAGCAAACTCACACCTGTGGACAATTTAAGCCACTTTCAGACATGCAGTCCTTTCCATAAATCTGACAGCATGTGAGCGTCATGTCTGAGTTAGCAGCCCGGTGACTTTTCTGTGAAAGACTCTCGGCACAGCACCGTGTGTCTGAACTGCATGCAGTCATATGAATGGAGAGCCACGCACAAGATTACAACGTACTGACACCGTCTTGTGGGTGACACAACCTCATGTATTATAAATCATTGACCTACAGCATGTACTGCCCAATCTTGCATGTAGGCAAATGTCATGCGTGTTCTGCATCTCTCGTCACTGTCTGGATGAAGCTGCAACGTGAACATAAAAGTGATCCGTATCTGAATGACAGAATGTTGTCGTTTAAGTCCATCGATGAAGCCAGATATACATCCATCCATCCATTATCTGTACACCGCTTAATCCTCACTAGGGTCCTAGAGCCTATCCCAGCAGCAGATACACAGTCGTCCTCAAATTTATTCTCAAAATTCCCAATAGTCACTCAAACAACTAGAAGCTGAAAAAAAGTAATAATACATAAAAATTTGCTAAATTAGAATTTAGTGAAATAAGATATTGCTTTTGAATTGTGGTTGAAAAGAATAATTAAAAAAACAAACAAAACTGTCTCTGACAAGTTAGAGCACTTTGCTGATGAGCAGTGGGCCACAATACCTGTCAACAGGTGCAGAAAAATATAAGTTTACGGGTCCCATCATGCTTGTTTGCTTGTTTTTTTTTGTTTTTGTTTTTTAAATATTTCTGTTCTCATATTGTCAGTTGTTTTTGGCTGCAGTCACTGGTTGGGCAGCGCTACAGTTTCAGACAGTGGCAGCTGCAGAGTCCAACTTGATTTATTGTAAAAAAAATTTGCAAAGACCCAAGGCTTTGAAAGTATACAATCCTTCAAACTATCACAGAACAAAAAGACGGTATGTACACTGTGCAGAGTTTTGGAGGCAGACCACAGCAGCATGACACAATTCACAATTTGGAACAGAGGCACTTTATATCTATTTGCTTCCCTCCTACTCTCTGCGCTTGAATATACTGGATTTTATTGCAGCAAAAATGTATTTTGTCAGATAATGGAACAAGTATGAAATAGCGACTGAAACACAGCCCATTAAAACTACATGTTAACCAGCAGGCACTTTGTAGCCATTTTCAAGCTGCTACTTTGCACCGTTCAACTACTGGTTCTATGAGGGCAACACTGTCTGACAAACTCACCATACACATGAGTTAACTAAAGCTGTACTGTAGAGAGAGCTAGTTAGAGTCAACATGAAGTCTTGGTCTCACACACTTGTTAATGTTCTGGTGGTGTCGACTGTTTTGCTCTGTGCAGTCATTCACAGACTCATTAAAGCTACAGACACCAAAACAGCCCATTTCAAAACTTGGGGTTATGCAGTCGTAATAAAATGAACTTTCTCTGTAGTATTTTGGGCTAAAAATCAAAAAACACATTCTTGGAACGTGACACTTTTGTTCATTTGTGTGATTTCTTTGCTTAGCTGTTTGACTTTACTGTTTGGTTCACTCTCACTGCGCTTGTGTTTTTGGAAACGACTGATTTCAGTGAGAAGACTCTGAACCCTTTTTTCTTTACACTGCAACACATTAACACCAGACAGACTCAGGTAGTGACCAGCTGGTGAATGTAGTGAAACATTCAGCTGCTGAAGAGTCCAACATTTCCCCCAAGAGTTGGTAGCAACCATAAACGGAGCTAACAGAGAGTTAATATTGGAGTCAAACATGACTCCAGTAAGCAGCTGTTGGCCGTTATGTTCACCAAATCAATTTAAAGGTCACAGTATGTCTATGTTTGTTCACTTGCTCCCTCCAAGTAGCTGGAAAAAAGTCAGTGAGTGCAAGTTTAAATGTTTCCATGTGAAAATAATGATGAGAGTATTCATGTGCAAGACTGGGAATTGTCCTAGTTTGTGTTGCCGTTTGCTCTGAGAGATTTAAAAACTGGAGACTGACTGTGGAGACAGTGAATTAAAGCGGCTGTAATGTAACAGCAGCCAGTCCTACAGAGTGGACCAACTTATATAACTGCTGTCTGTCATCCTGCCGATTTTTGTCCCTATTTTCAAGTGCTTTCATGCCTGCTGCACGCACAACAATTTATTGCATTTCAATGGGCGGTCAACTACTTGTCACAGTATGCAGGGTACAGGAAATTACAGGTGTAAATCGCATTAAGTCTGTTTTTCAAATGCCCGCATTAACTTGGCCTCATATTTCTTTGTAATTCAGAAATGCATTTTTCATGACCAAAGACTTTCAGAAGAAAAAATACACATTCAGAACAGCATCCCAGCTTTCCCATGGACTCAGTGTTTGATGCATGAGTTTGGGTTTTGACCCAGAAAAAATGTACAAGCACTGAAGTCCTGACCACTGATGGAGCTGCCTTCTTCCTTTGTGCTATTTGTCCCTGATAACTCAGAGAACAGCAATTTGGCTGAAAATGGTTGAGCCAGTTTGGAACAATGCACATGCAAAGCATTGTGAAAGTCCACATAGTTCATTAGAGGCCACGCTGAGTGAATTGATTGCAATCAGCAGCAGTAGAAGGGACAATGGTCACCGCTGTTGCAGCCTCTGTTAAAGAAGTGTTACTGATGTTCTAGTTGGATAATGTTTAAATGCTGGCTGATTACATCCCAGCAGCAGATTCAATTAAAATAATGACATGCGTGGCGCCCAAGTAGCTCAACTGGATAAGACGGTGACCGATGTACAAGGGCTATCGTCCCCGATGCAGCGGCCGCAGTTCGAGTCTAACCAGCGGCTGCATGTCCTTCCCCCACTCGTCTCCACGTTTCACTGTCCTGAGAACTAGCATAAGCCCAAAAAAATAATCTCTATTGTTTTCTCAAGTTTTTTTTTTTTTTTTAAACCAACCCCAACAAAAAAAGCTTGTGCACAAATGCAGACATATATCTAAGTATAGGCAGATGGTGGTTTAGACGTTGAATGCCAACAGAATAAACTTTATATAACGTAATGTCACAGACTTTGCTGAAATACGTCAGCCAGTAACTGCCAACATTTAATTTTCCAACATAAGCATGGCATTTTAAGTTCTCTGTGTTTTTTCTCTGCTGTGTTATTAAAAATCTATTTCCTTTGATTGACATATAAGTAAGCATACACTGGAGGTGATTTAGCATAATGAGTAACTAAGGGGCAGGTGCAGTGCGCTTTGTAATTTAAGAAAATCTTCCAAAAGTGTTTCTGTCTGTGAGTGATGCAGAGAAACTGATGCACACTTTAATATCGCTGTCTGGGAACTCCACCTCATGTTCTAACTCTCTCTCCCTGTCTCACTGTTTGTTTTCCAGGTGGAAGGAGCAGCCTATACGGGTTCATTCGTGTGGAAATCTCGCAGTGTTGGTTTGTGGGACCGTTCTAGAGGAGAGAACTTGTTGGACAGTGGAGCGCCGTTCTACGATACCTACGAGACTTCAGATGGAAAGCACATGGCTGTGGGCGCCATAGAGCCACAGTTCTACAAACAGCTACTTCAGGGTTCGTAGCACGCAAACACACATCTCAGACTGTGAAGTAAACCTGTATAAGCACCTGCCACTTGCCACGCCATCAACATCAACAGAACCCTGGGGGAACGTAAAGTATCATGAGCACCCTCTTCACCTCCCAGCACCAACCTGTGAAAGTATGACTCACAAAATAAGCAGCACATGTCAGGTTGGGACGCTCGCATCTCGTCATGGCATAACAACCACAATCCAATTATAAAGCGTAGCCTCAAACGAAGGCTCAAAATTGAATATACACCAATTTTATTCAAAGCACACAGTTCAGCACAGCAGGTATTCTGACAACCAAAGAGCAGTAATGCAAGCAAAACATTTCATACACGTCCCAGCATCACCTCCTGCACCGAAACTCTGACAAGATTTGTTTCCGCCCAAGAAAACACTGTCTTGTATTAATTCCTTTTGCATAATCTTAAAAGAAAGCCAACTCGTGCACTATATGTCACAGGAGTTAATCACAAATGCTGTAGTGTGCTTTGGCAGGTTTTATTTTCACACACATTGTGCAGAAACACAACACTGTCAGACGGCCCCGTCCTCTGCATTTCATGAAAAAGGAAATGCATAAAAAACGTGTTAAACCTGCCAAGTGAAACAAAAGCATCTCCTCTGAAATTTCAGTAACTTAAACCAAGCACATGTAGTCATTGTGTGGGTGTGAAGGGCAATCCTGATTTCTGAGTGTAATTAAATTACATGACCAACTTAGAACTTCACAAAGATCAAAATCTTCTCTGAGATCAATGCGCTGGCAACTCCTGTTTTAAGATCTAAAGCAGCGCCTTGTTTTACATCCCTTTTGCTGCTGACACGTTTCTCCATTGGGTTACATAAGTGTTTTTTGTTTTTTTTTCTCCAGGCTTAGGGTTGGACGCTGGAGAGTTGCCTCCTCAGATGAGCTTTGATGATTGGCCAGAGCTTAGGCGGCTTTTCACACAGCGGTTTGCCTCAAAGACGCAGGCGGATTGGTCGAGGGTTTTTGATGGGACCGATGCCTGCGTCACACCTGTGTTGACTTTCGACCAGGTGAGCTCACACCCACACAACCAGGAAAGAGGCTCCTTCGTGAAGGACTCCAGTGGGGATGAAAGCCCCCGACCGGCCCCGGTTCTATCTCGGACCCCTGCTGAGCCTGGCCTGGGCTCCAACCCTGACACTGGGGAACACACGGTTGAGGTCCTGGCGGAGTACGGCTTTAAGTCAGCAGAGATAGAGCAGATGCTAGCAGCTGGGGTCGTAGAGTGTAACGCTGTCAAGGCTAAGTTGTAGAGGATTGAGCTTTTTTTTTTTTTTTTGAAAGGCCACACCTGCACCCTCTTTTAATATTTGGGAGAAATCATAGAGAAGAGATCAATAATTAACTGTGTTTTGGAAATACTGGAGATTAGAAACTGATTTGGACAACAAAAATAACAAAAAACACTGAAATCATGTCTAACATGTGTGTAAGAATTTAATTAAAAGCAAAGTAGGAAAAGTGTTTTTTACTTTTATGAGCTTGCAAAAAAGTACTTTTCCATCTCGCACATTGCATTTATTCTCTTCGACCCCAGGAGCCTGCTGTACGCGTGCTGCGAGTGAATACACTTGCCTCTAGTGTAGGTGCGTCTGGATTGGACGAGGTGAAAGGCAATGTTTTGCACTCTCGGAGTACGTGGATGCAGTTTGGGGTTAAAGCAGCTAATTTCAATATCTGCTTCCCCTTTTTTTTGTGCCACTGTTGACCTCCAAGTGTCTGAAAGAAAAGCAGTCGTAGGAAATGCAACTGCTCCTTGAATCACACAGTATTCATGTGCGCTAAGTTATTCTGCTCAGGCTCAATCTGATTTACACACGTCGAAAGAGATTTGTGTGCATGGGTTGAAGGATCAAACTGAACACCAGAAATATAAAGTACATTTACTCTTTAAAGTTTGCTCTGAGCCTGAGTTTCAAAATTTGGCACCGTGATGCCTGAAGTCCACTGGATCTGACTGTTTGTGCAGTTTCAGTGGAAAACATCTCAGACGGGAGACACCCACATACAAAGTAAAAGTGGGACAGTTACAACAATGGTTCATGCCGACAGAAGCCTGTTGGATTCTCGTCAGTCGACACCAACAGACCTCCTTTTTGTTTAAGCTAAACACTAAACGAAGTTAACTAAATGAATCATCTTAATTGGCAAATCTATTAATCCCATTCATGCCTCTTATCTGGGTCCAGGGAGTGTCACTTAAACAAATTATACCATTTGGAATTTTTTTTTGTTAAATACTGCTTGGAAGGGCTAAAAAAAAAAACATGATAAATAATAAATCATTTCAGGCTATTTTTTACTTTATGAAATGGGATTTAAATTGTAATGTGTGTGATATTAAAAGGTCCTGGTGAACCCTGTAGAGCCATGTTGCCAACTATATTTTAAAATTACATGTTCTGTGGCCTTTCTCTATGATCACTCATTTTAAATGTCAGTATGGGCAATTTCCTCGCACAGCTGCTGCCCAGGGTTTTTTTTTTCTTCATGGTATGACAGTGTAGTAATGATTGTATTTACGACTTGCAGTGACATTTCTAATTCGATTTCAGTGTCTGACAACAGACTTTTGAAAATATGTGAGCGGGGAGAACTAAAATGGGAATTTCAAAGCAATGAAAACTCACAGTAAGAGGACGGAGTACGTGAGCTGACGTTTGTTCCACTAGAAACTCAATTTGAATCATTTGAATTTTAGTTGTTCAACTTGAAGAGTATTTTTAAAAAAAATTGGATTTGAATTACATAATTTAAAATTAGATTTATTAGATTGAAACAAAACTTCACTAATTTGAAACTGAATGTAATATGAAATTGAATTCAGTTGCTCTGAAATTGTGTTTGATCCTCACTAAAACTCTCTCGAAATCAAATTCAGTTCTTATAGTTCAAATTTAATTCACTGAGACACAAATGCAATCAAGCTCAGATCCACAGAACTCTTTATGGCTCATCAGCACCTTTGACACTCCGGTGTATAAAAATGGAAGTCGCATCTCCACTTCAAACTATGTGAGTCACATCCAGTTTTTTTTTCAAACAGTTGTTCAAGTTAAACAATCCAAACTCCCCCAAAAATTTAAATAAAATTTCTAGTGACACATTTTTCTTTCCATAAAAGCCGGCCTCTCTCTGCCTCCTCTGTCTGTGCATGACATAACAAACAACATGACTGTGTATGTGTGAAGCCTGTCAGTGACACATCATCAAGCATCAATAAATATACATTTATTATATATACAGACATTCACAAGTAAATTTCACACGTCAGAGGTGAAGTCTGCCAGAGCAACACCTGACACAGAATGTAATGAAGCAGGGAAACGAGCCAGGAGTGACGCGTTGCTGTTTCCTACATATTTAGCTGCATGTGTACTCACTGAAGGTTGCAGTTATATATTCTCAACGTTCGGTAGTTATTGCATCACTTCATTGCAGTCTAGCCATGTTTGTTTACATGATTAGTTAGTGATGATTCAGTGATGCTAATTTCTATCTATGTAAATCATATGCAGTGCCTGTTATGTCTGGTGTTTGCACCGTCAGTTAACGCCTGCAAAACACCTGTTAAAATGCAAATATGTTCTTCTAACGTTACATTATGTCCGTATGGTGTTCTACCGTGAGCACATGATTTGTTGTGCAGGAACATGAAGCAGCACGAGAGGGACCGAAAGCTGGAGTGACTTTTGAATGACTTTGATGCAGAACAGTGAGCCTTTAGATTTTAGGTAATAGGATACAGTGCAGATTATAGATTTACTCGACTGTGCCCATTGCCGCGAGCCAACTGTAAGGTACTTAGCATCAAGAATTTCACGCCAGAGGAAGTGCTGCATCAGAAAACTCAAATCTGGTTGACAAAATTTTAAAAATGGGTTTGTTTTGTTTTGGTTTTTTTAAATTGGATGTGTTTGGAATAACAATTGAATTAAAGAGAGTACATGTTACTTTAAGACAGCTGAAATGTGAAAATGTTTAAAGATGTTAATTTCAAGATTTTGAACATTAATAAAGCATTTATACAGAAGCAAAGAACTATCTGCTCTGTAAAGATATTGTTGAGTAATAGTGTCCTCAGCAGGAATTCAAGTCACACCTCCTCTGTGTGTGTGTTGTAATTCCAGCGTCTGTGTTCTGTGCTCTGGCTGCCAGTCCCACCACACAAGCATGTTAGTACACGCTGGTGCACGTGAGTCCCTGCCTTGGACCTCAGCCCTCCCCACGCTTCTAAACCAGCCCAAAGTGACCTCCCACGCTATATTGGAAAAGTGGCGGTACCATTCAGCCAGTGCTCTCAAAAAAAAGAAAAAAAGAAGTGTGTTTATGGTATTTCTCTCATTGATGTGCACTTGTTTCATTTCAGTACAGCCTCTACTGCTGTTGTGAGGCTCTTCTCTGCTCCTCCATATGTGTGATGTTTCCACACACGAGTCCACTCATTGGTCTGCTACAGTCTAATGGACCATGGAAACAGACACACAAGCAGAGAGAGGTGAAGGAGGGGCAGTGAAGATGGCGTCAGACGAGCTGACAGTAACTCATCACGGCTGTTCAGTGTGACTGGTTGTGCCCGTTTCTGGAGATGCTGGTGCTCAACCAGCATCCACTAATTATGAATGTGGCAAAGAAAATCTTCAGAGCAAGAAGCTTTTTTATTTGCCTAGACAGATAAATACTGTCAGTTTCCTGTGTCTTAGATGACAGCATAGAATTATGTATTCATATATATCTGCTGTTGCGTTATCGGTCGATAATAGATTAATTTGTATTACAAACTGACCATATCAAGCATTTATCCTGTGCTCATACTCGTATTTTTAGCCACAGACATGTTCTACGGCAGCTGTTTCGTACATCACTGGGATGTAGGATTGCTATCCTAATTGATCCTGGCTTGCCTAACCTCATCTACACTGGTTGGATATTGTTAAGCCTCACAGTGCCCATATATGAGCGTAAAAACCCACAATGCTCCCTGCTGCTAACATGGAACTGCCCACCTCCTCTGGTCGCTACAGTATTCAACAGTAAGAGGCACAACCAGGTACTACAGCTAATCTACAATACCTAAATTAGTATTATCCAAGAAAATGGTTCCAGGTATCACGTTATACTTACATACTGTACATACTTGCATAATCTTACATCTTACAACATAACTGTTCCCTCCATCTAGCATTACTACAGTTGTCAGATTTGTTCAGTCCGCCGTCTTTCACTTGTTAATGAACGCACTATTACATACTCTGCTGCAGGGTAAGACCTTAAGGCATCGAAGTATGTGAAGAATGTCTGCGGTGTGACTGGAAACATCTGACTCTCACCATGCCAGGCCAAACACGGGACAGACCAATATAGCCTGAGATTAACTTTAAATGGGGTTTAATGTAAAGGATTGTGCTGAACTTTTAAGCAATAAAGTAAAGTGAAAATAATCTCAAAGATAGAGCCACAAGTAATATCGCCTGACTTCATAGTGCAAGAAACATACAACTCGATTTTAAAACTGCATCGGTTCTTCTTGTTCTAAGCATCTTGGACAACTTGCCAGTTCTTCTGTATATTTCTTCTGTCTCCGTGTTTCCTCATGTGATCCTACACTGACGCCTTGATGCTGATGTACGGCTACTCTGGGGTTCAGACCATCTGTTGGATGACTCTTTGTTCTTCTTGTGACTGTGTCTGTTGTTGTTGTTGTCATGCTGCAGAAGGAACTTGGAGCTGATCGGACACCTTTCTTATCGTGCCGCGATGCTCGATAAGAATCAGCCCGTGTGTCTCAGCATTAGGTCTGTAAACTCTATGTACCGAGATACAATCCAAAAAAAACCTCCAAGGAACCTCCAGCATGCTTTGCTGTTGCCTCCAGACACCCTTGGCAAACACAACCGCCCATTTCGAATTCTGATTCATCACTTGCTGCCATTTTTGCTGCACCCCGGCTCTTGTGTGTTCACGCATGTGTTAGACGACTTCTGCCCAGAAAGCTCTGAGCTGCAGATGGTCCCACTGCTCTCCGCCATGTGTGAGCTGATGGCCCTGCTGGAAGTCTTCTAACAGCACAGGGAAGTCAGCTTGCTGTCTTTTATCTGCTGATCTCAATTTCCCTCAGCAACCGCTGAGTTTCCAGTTGTTAGCCTTGTGTGTTCCTTTGAATTTGGACAGCATGCCTGGAAACACCGGTTTCCAGATGGTCACTTTGTTTCCTGTTCTTATGCTTCCTTTCCGTGGTTTAAAATGTTTTGATGAAGCAGCCATTTCTTTGTACATCTCACTTGTCGCCCAGTTTCATTCCACCTACGCAGCTGTTAATGATTTGACACAGAGAAGTATTTAGAAATCTTTATCTCCAGTGTTTTAAAACCTGCTGTATCACTAGTAGATGGATTATAGACTTGATTGCAATGCCAAACGGTGTTTTTGATTGATGATGGAACTGCGTTGTACAATGTTCTAACTACAAGCTGTTTATTGTCACTGTTGGCATTCTAGCAATATGTGTGATTTGATTGATTCCTTTTAACACAGTTACAGCATAGAATATCATTGTGTATATGGAGCGGAAGGTTGCTCGATCTTTTTCCAAGGAGAAGTGGTTATATACAGTCGTCCTCAAATTTATTCATACTCTCCCATTGACAGTTTTGTTTTGGTTTAAATATTCTTTTCAACCGCAGTTGAAAAGCAATGTCTTATTTCACTAAATTATCATTTAGAAGTTTTTTTTATTATTACTTTTTTTCAGTTTCTAGTTATTTGAGTCACTATTGTGAATTTTGCCTTTTCTTTAATGGAAGGGTATGAATACATTTGAGGACGACTGTATATAAATTTTTTCTTAAAATTCCATTGACAACGCACAAAGGTTTCCTGAGCAGCAGTTTTGAAGCTCTGTGTTTCCAACTCTTTCCGTCTTGCCAGAACCCGACTCATCTTAACTCTCAGGTAATCCAAAAATGTAC